TAACCTTAACTGAGAAATTCGAGTTTTCTCTTATTGAAAAATATTCATTGAAAAATTTCAGTGGGGGCACCCACATATGGAAGTTATCAAAAAGAGTGTTGATGATCTCAAACTAGTAGACAACTGGAAAATTATATTTATTGATGGGAGACATGTATTGGTTCAATTAATCGTGACTAAAGACTACACCCGAATTTTCTCCAAAAAATATCTTAATATTACAGACAAGTCAATGGACTTACTCAATTAGTTTGGTGTTTTCTTATTTATAAGTGTATTTTCCTAGCATAATTTCTTGCTCCAATAAGTATGTATTGTTATCTGGAATATAATTGAGTGCCTTGTATCGGGTCTTTACCTTATAGTAATTACTTTTCATCTTAATGAATGATCCCTAGTTTCATCATAGAATTTATTATTAGCTAATGTTGATCTGCTTAATAAGAAATGGCATTTAGTCTATTTTTTTAAATTTCGAGGATAAAATTTTTATCAGTGGGGAAGATTGTCACGTCCCATTTCAGTTACTCGGAGGAGAGGAAATAAAGAACCGAAGAAGTGCGAAGAGTTGGGAAACTGAATATAGGGTTCAGAAGCTAAGGAGGCGTGCTCTCTCTATAAATCGATGTGAGAAGTGGGAGCTCTCGTGCGTGTGGTCAGAGAGTAGAGGAAGGAAGGAGAGGTGTTGCGTGCTTTCTTACCCGAGGAAATGACGTAACGGTCTCATGCGTTGTGCTCAAGGGAAGAAGAGGATTGCAATGTTGCTTTACTGTGTCGAGCTGTGACCAAAGGCGGAGGAATGAAGGCAATGTGCAAAGTGGATTCTGTGTGCTGAGGAAGAAGCTCTTCTGTGCGCGAAGGAGGGGTTCTCGTGCCTGCTGCCATACAAAGGAGGATAGTGAGGTCAACGCAAATCAAATTAGTTTTCATTAAGGTGAGTATTTATACTTTTAAGCCATGATAATATTTTAGTTCTTCTCAACTATTTTGCATTAGTAGTTAATGATACTTCTACAAGCTTTATTTTGATTTATATGTTATTTTTTTTATTGGTCATATTATTATGAATATTTGTAGTTACTTGTTATCATGCATTGATTACAGCTATATATATAGATTGAATGATATGTTTATACTGTTGCTTGTTTGTGCATAATTGACTATGATTATCTTACCTTTATGGTACTAGCGGGGGAACACTAAGATACCCGTACACGTAAATTAAAAATATTAGGGGCAATTACATACAAGACACCCAAACCATTGCTATTTACAAATCATGCACCCCCTTTCATCCCTTTTTCAACTTCTCACTCAAATATCAAAGGTCATGATAATAATCCCAACCCATATTTTTCATTTTTATCAAATTCATATTTGTTTGATTGTGGCACGCATAAATGCATCTGTTTTATAGTTTAAAAATCACGTAGGTGCTTGATTTGTGACTAACAATATTTTTTTGCTTTGTATGTAATTATCCTAAAATAATGTTTATATTAAAGTACCCTAATTGATACAAATTTTTAGACGGTGCTTCTGTGATGGTTGTACAAATATATAATAATATCGATATGTTATTGATATAGTAAGATTCCTTGAATAACAGATCAAATATTTATATTGATATATTAAAAGCTCAATTGACATGTAAATTGCTTTCTTTTCTCTTGTATTACTATAGTTTAGGAGTGTGAGTATTGATTGAGTTTGGTTAGCTTAATATGGTTTTAAACATATTTTCAGGTATAATTAAAAGATGAACAATATAAGAGGTAACGTTTATAAAAGACCGTGGACAACCTGTAATGAGGTAAATTTAACTAGACTTTGTTAATTTAATTTTCTATAGTGACTTTTTCTTTTGTAAAATATTATTTATAGAGAATGGATATAGAAAACTTAATTCCCATCGTTCGACCGTTTGTACCTATCTTGATGAATTCCAAGCTCCAGGTCGTGACAGTGCCCCATATCATTAGTTTAAGAATAGTGTTTGTGACTGAAGGTTAACCTTAAGAATTTGTATCCGTATTCACTGACTTGCCCTTCAAATTTCTGCTTTTGTAAGGTGTGCATTAGTTGTTCTATGACTTGAATAGCTTCAACTATCCGACGAACTTCTCTTATTCACTATCTTTATGGCTGCAGTGATTTTCTATTGATCTCACATGATGATTGGGTATTTAGCTTGTCAGAATAATAACAGTTGTTTCACGGTTCTCAGTTTCTGGTGTTGTAAATATTTCATTATCCTTGGACTGCTCTTTTAAAGTTACAGGCTTTGCAGAATGTGCTACTCTATTAATGATTTAATACATTTTATTGTTATATTGTCTTTAGAAATTTGAACAGTATGAGCTGTGTAAATGTTCATGAAGGAAATAGTTCATTATATCGTTGCAAAAGCTCTCATGTGTCCCTTATACTCGTATTGATTGCATGCAACTACTTTCATTGATTTTATGCTAGAATCACTTTCATTATTTTCACAAAATTACCTTTTAATACATGTACAGGTGGAGCAGCTGCACAAAATTTTTAAGCTTTGTGGTTCACCATCTGATGACTACTGGAGGAAGTCCAAACTGCCACATGCCACCATTTTTAAGCCTCAACAACCTTATAGGCGACGTGTTGCAGAAACATATGAGGACTTTCCAGCATCAGCTTTAGCCCTAATGGAAGTATTATTATCAGTAGACCCAGCAGATCGTGGAACTGCAGCTTTTGCTCTGAAGAGTGAGGTAAGGAAAAGCTTAACTTCTGCGGAAGCCACCCACTCACTCACACCGGTCAAAATAGAAAACATAAAGAAATGATAAAACACACACTCACACGCTAACATTAATTTTTCATTCTCCCTTTTTTTGGGCAAAGTTTAATGCTCGAAGTGGACAATCTTGTAAAAATTCCTTTCTCAAGTTTGTTTACTTGGGACATTGTTTTAGAACAGTTGCATCAACCTCTTAATTCTGGGCCAGATTTCTCATCTTTAGGGCGGCAAATAATGCAATAGTTGGCCTGCTAATGGGTCATGCAGATGAAAAACTAGCAGTATCATACATAAGTTAGAGCCCATTTTAGTTGTGATTTTGCAATCGGTGATTATCCCCTTAGTTTAGCAAGGGTGGTTTTTTTATTGGTTTTGTTGAGAATTGTATATAGTTTAGGGTCCTATTTATAAATAGGAAATATAGAATAAATTAAGGGATTTATTTGTAAAGAATTTTAATGCTCTATATAAGCCCAAATCTTTAATGATAATGTTAAGGCTCTCTCTCTCTCTCTCTCTCTTTATATATATATATATATATATATATACCCGAAGCATGATGATCTCGATGAAAGTCCCAAAACACTTGTGGGGGTAAGCTATTTTGACAGCCGCTTAATTGATTAATAAAGTACCCTCAAGAGTGTTGGAGTGACAATCTCCTCGTGAGTTGTTGAAAGGAGATAATGACGGGATCCACCCATTGAAGCTGTTTGGTTGTGTATGTTTTGTGAAAAATAATAGACCATCAATTGGTAACCTAGATCCCAGAGTTGTGAAGTTTGTTTTGTGGGTTATTGTGGTACTCAGAATTAATGTGTTTGTTGGAGTCCAATAGAGAATAGATTGTGAGTATTGACGTGATTTTTAGAGAATTTGAACTGTACTACACCTTGGAGGTGACCCCACCCTTTGGTGATTCACTAGATATTGGAGGTATGAGGCGAGAGGGGAAGAGTAGTGATGGTGAGAGATTGATACATCTGAGAACGATGCCTTGTTCTATTGTGTGGGAATTATCAATTGAGGAAGAGCCGAAAAATGAGAAAATGAGCCTGAATATTGTGGGATTCAAGCTCAAGGGGAGCTGAGGGTGTATACAAGATGGAGGTTGAATGAGAGAACAATGCCTGCCATGTCACTCGTGCCAACAAGTCTCTTTTCCCGAACTCCCCGAATCTTGAATGAGGGAACATTGCCTACCATGCCAGTCAGGCAAATAAGTCTCTAGTCACGATCTCCTCGAATACTGAGACACCCACGCGATCTACCTCAAAATTCGATTACACAAGTGATATGATTCATCTGTCTTTGCCTCCCACTCCCATGAATTTAAAGAGGACCTCACAACAATGGGGGCCATCTTTCTGATTGTTTTGGTTTGTCATACAACATTTTCCAATTTGTCTCATACTCTAACTTATCATCTTTACACAGAGCATTCATTGCTTCTTTGAATACTTCCTCTATCCCAAGTATCGACAGATAGCTAAGGAAGATCAAAAGTGGAAGGCTGTCATGCTGAGGAACTCGGTGCTCTTGACAAATAATATGACGTGAGAGCTCACATTGCTGCTAGCAGGGGAAACTGTAGTCGGGTGCAAATAGATCTTCACAATGAAGTATATCTTTGAAGGGAATATTGATCACTACAAAACATTGTTGGTGGGGAAATGACATAGTCAAACGTATGACATTGAATATGATAAGACATTTGCACCGGTGGCAAAGATGAGCACAAGTCAGGACACTTGTCTCTCTGGCTGTGAATGATGGATGAAAGTTACACCAACTGGATGTGAATAATGCATTTTTTCATAGGGATCTGCTAGACGAGGTGTACATGGAGAAACCCCAAACTTCGAACAAACCAAATAATGGGAAAAATATGTAGACTAAGGGAATCACTGTACGATTTGAAACAATCTCTTCAAGTTTGGTTTGACAGGTTCTGGAGAGCAATGATAGACACGGACTATTAGCAAATCAATGCCGGCCATACAACTTTCTTTCGACGACATGGTGGCCACTTTAGTATTCTTATTTTGATGTGGATGATATGATTGTCACTGGTAATGATGAGGGAGAGATTGATCAATTGAAGGCATGTTCGGGAAAATTTTTTGAGGTGAAGGACTTGGGAATAGCTTAGGCACTTTATTGGGATTGAGGTGGCTCGCGGAGTAGAGGGAATTTTTTTTTATCTCAGCGGAAGTGATTGCTTGACTTGCTCACAGAGACAAACATGCTAAGATGCAAGCCTGTAGTTTCTGCAATTGATCAGAAGGGAAATTTGAGAGCATTGGCAGAAGAGCTAGTTGATCGCGAGAGGTATAGGTTGGTAGACCGTCTCATCTATCCGAGTCGCACTCGTTCCGACATATCATTTGCATTAAGTGTGGTGAGTCATTACATACACGATCCAAGGAACCGAGGTACTTGAAATGTGTACCAGGGAAGGGGTTGATCTTAAGAAAAAACGGGCTACTGTAACTATGATTGGGCTAGTTGTGCTGATGACAGGAGGTCCACATCAGGATAGTGCATGTCAATTTGGTCTCTTGGAAGAGCAAGAAACAATTGATAGTTGTGAGGTCAACGACAGAGGTAGAGTACAGGGCTATGGCCTTAGGAATTGCCGAGATGTTATGGCTGAGAGCTCTATTGGTAGAGCTCAAGGTGGACCAAGGACCTCAAATGAAGTTGTGGTGCGACAAAAAGTCAACAATGAACATTGCCAACAACCCATCGCAGCATGATAGAACCAAGTATGTGGAGATTGATAGGTTCTTTATCAAGGAGAATCTGAATAGTGAATTACTGGAGATAAGTCATGCAGCTACTGGAGAGCAAGTAACTTATTGTCTCACCAAGGGACTTCGCTCATTAGTTCTATCTCGGTTGTGTGACAAGATGGGCTTAGTGAATATCTTTTGCCCATCTTGAGGGGGAGCGTTGAGAATCGTATATAGTTTAGGGTTCTATTTGTAAATAGGAAATATAGAATAAGTCTAGAGATTTATTTGTAAAGAATGTTAAGGCTCTACATAAGCCTGGGTCTTTAATGAATAGTGTGACTTTTTTAGCAATTATTTCTATTGATTTTGTTGTGATGCTCTTCATTTTCTGATATTTTCAGTTTATAGTTGATTCATTATGGCATGGAGATTCTATAATTTTATGGAGTAAAGTGTCACAATAGGCCCCTGGATGTGCTATTTTAGTTTCAGAGTATATAAAAGTATCAAATTAGTCCTCATGCTTTTTTAATATGAGATTAAATAGTCTCCAGAAAGGATTATGTTAACGTCCATTAAAAAGTATTGTGGATTAAATTGGCACTATTATAAACTCTTGGACTAAAATAATTTCCTACAAAGAGTTAGGGGACTATTTTGACACCTTTCTCTACTTTTAAATTAGGAATTTCTGGCTCTATCTTCTTACCTTTATGTGTACAGTTCCATGTAATTATTTTTTTGAGCATTTTCAGAGAACTTCATTTGTTCTTGTGTTTTTTTTTTTCCTTTTGAAGTATTCGTGTAGGACCGTGTTTAACTCCTTATAACAATCGAGACGGATCTAAAAGAAAAAAGAAGGATAATTTGGAATTAATTTAAAGGGGCTATTTGTTTTCAAGTACTTGGATTTATGAAACATTCTATATACAAAGTATATTCATATATATGTAAGTTTTTGCCCAATTTTTGTTGCTTGCCAAAGAAAAAAAAAAGATTCTTGGTTGCCTGCATATTATTTCAAATACTTGCGAAGATGGTGGGCGGAGGTAGCTTTAGCGGATGGTTGCCATCTGAGGTCATTTTTGATAGTTGCGGTGGAGGCCTGCATTAACAGTGGTGGCTAGAATTGATGGTGGAGGATGGTGTCGACGACGGCAAAGGATGGCTAGCTTGTAATGGCTAGTAGTAGGTAGTGGCCAGGGACAACAGTGTTGCAGGTTGATTTGAAATTCACTCAAATCGGGTGAATTTCAGATACATTGAAAATGATCTAAAGAGAGAATTTCAAACATATTAACATTTTACACTACATTTGTTGTTCTTCTGACCAAACCCAAGAAATTTCAAGTCTTGCATTTTGTTGGCGTTGAACTAGAAATACTTCCAACTAAATAGCCTGCAAGTACTTTTCTTTCCACCATTAGCTTGTAAGTACTTGGTGAAGTATAAACAGTCTTAATAAAACTATTGAATAATTTTCACTTGCAGTTGTACCCACAATATAGAGGTAACTGACATTCCCTTTATATTTTGTTTCTTTTTGTAAAGGAGATGCCAATGGATTATAGTTCTTTTTCAATATGACTACAAAGTATTAATGATTATATGCATTTCTTAATGCGATTGTATCTGATTGCTTTTATGCTGATACTTATTAAACATGAGATGTCTCTTTGGTTTTGTGGTGGCAGCATCTTAAGGGTATATTTATCTTTTAATGCTGATTCTTATTAAACATTGGATGCCTCTCTGGTTTCTTTGATTTTCCTAGTTTTCTTTGTAGTGAAAACATACTAATCTCCTTTTTTATCAGTACTTTACAACAAAGCCTCTTCCTTGCGACCCTTCAACCTTGCCCAAATACCCTCCAAGTAAAGAGCTTGATGCTAAAGTACGTGAAGAAGAAACTAGAAGGTATTCTCATTTTAGCTTTTCTCAAGTATCTCTTAACTCCTTTTTTTTATTATTGTTTATCCATTCAATTAAGTGTTATGTTAGAATTACAAGAACTAAAATGCTATTCCATGACTTAAATGTACGTTTGAGTATTGACACTACCTTTCTGAGGCCACTGTTTGAAAAGAGCAGAGAAAAGTGAAAGGAAATGAAGTGCAATTGATACTTTTAACTACTTCGCCCTTGCCATACATCTTTCTTCCTTTCCTTTCTTTCTGTTTTAGCACTGCCAGCTCTGTTTGTTTTGGTTTTTATTTCTTTCTCTTCTTTATTCATTTATTCACTTCTCATAATCATCTTTAGTGTGGAAGGAGGAGTAGTATTTATCCCATCGCTCACTCTTCCTTGACTCTCTAAGTAGTTCAGTTTAAAAAAATAGTAATCATTGCAATAGCAGTCATTTTTGGCATCACGTGACTTGACAAAAATTAATGGTGTAGAAGGCAAAGAAGTTACCAAAGAACTAACTTAAGGTACTACGTGTGTGCTTTGGAGTGTTCTAGGGACCTTAGATGAAAATGGAACTTTTGAACTCGTGACTGGAAACCAGAGGCCTTACAAGTAGTCTACCATGATGTTGTGGAAAAAACATCATGTTGTGAAATATTGTTTTCGACCTAGCTACGAGTTATAGATTTATTGATGTTATCCTCTCTTCATGGGAAAAATTTCCTGTCCGGACTTCGGACGTTGCTCTGTGTGCGGACTCCAATAGTATGCCGCCACGTATGCTACTTCGCGAAGGTTATTTCAGGGTTATTGAAGTGAAACCACAGATGTTATTTTGGGGTCATTTCTGAGTTGTTGAAGAGAAACCCATATATTATACTTCAATAACTCCGATATAACACCGCAGATGTTATTTTTGAATTATTTAAGAGAAAGTCATATATTCCACTTCAATAACCCTGAAATAACACCACAGAGGCTATTTCAGGGTTATTTCGGGGTTACTTCAGAGTTATTGAAGAACAACTCATAAATAACTCTGAAATAATTTAGAAATAGCACCACAAAGGTTATTTCGGGGTTATTTTTGGGTTATTGGAGTCAACAGTTCTACTCTAGTAAACTTTGTGGTTCTAGTTTAATATTTTTTTAGGTGAGTCCGATATAGCACATTAGGTGGTATATTACTGGAGTCCGCATGTAGAGCTATGTCCGGAGTCCGGATTGAAAATTTTTCTTGCTTCATGGTACTCTCTTGTGGTTCCTGTTGACGTAAAAAAAAGAGTAAAAATAATTAAATTTATTGATATTTTAAATAGATTTAATTAATTTAATTAATGTTAATTTAAATTTCGAGCCTCCTGTAATTGTTCCCACTCCAACTCTTGCTCTCGCTCCCACTGGATGTCATAACTATTCCCGCTTCTTTTCAGTTAAAAACTGCACAACTCGTCAGGTCGAGGAAAGGGGTCTCGATCGCTCCTTCCTTCTCACAACCACATGCAAGTCTCAACGCTCCTCCCATCTCCCTCTCTACGTGCGCCCTGTTCAATCAAAGCAAACTGAGAAGGGCGATTAGAACAAGTGGGAAAAGCAACAACAAGATCACAGTGTAGGAAGGCATCTGAAACTCCTTGTTCTCTCTACACCATAGGCTGAAATCAAAGCCTTAGTTCGTCCTCTTTTTGAGACACGACTCAATGTCGTAGCCTAACACTTGTCACCTCCGATACGTTGGCAACTAGGGCAGGCTGGTCGGAAAAAATTGAAGTTCTTGCGACATAGTAATTGGGAAGGCAATGACGGAAATGCAGCGTACAAGGACTTCCGAAACTTGCATGTTTCCCTACTTTCTCTTTACTTCTTACACGGAAAGACCACGGAAATGCTGCTTTTCCCGCTTGTTCTAATCGTTCTTCTCAGTTTGCTTTGATTGAATGGGAAAAGCAGCAACGGGATCGCAGTGTAGGAAGGCATCTGAAACTCCTTGTCCTCTCTACATCATAGGCTGAAATCAAAGCATTAGTTCGTCCTTTCTTCGCGACACGACTCAATGGTGTAGCCTAACGCTTGTCTCCTCCGATACGTTAGCAACTAGGGCTGGCTGGCTGGAAAAAGATTGAATTCCTTGCGACATAGTAACTGGGAAGGCAATCAAGGAAATGCAGCATACAAGGACTTCCGAAACTTGCATGTTTCCCTACTTTCGCTCTATTTCTTACACGGAAAGACCACGTGATTTCCTCCCTGTTCTGCACTCGATACAACTCGAAACACTCACCTGTGTCTGTATCCTCTCTCCTGATTTTCCTCAAAACCATCATCTTTGTGATGAAACTATTGTGATTAGAGAAAATTGGGATGACAGCTGCATGGTCGTGATACAGAGGCCTGAAATTCACTTCTTTCTTCTTCCGCACTGCTGCTATCCGAAACCATTGAGGCGGATGGAGAAATCATATAGTAAGCCAGATTCCTATCTCTACTTCACCCCTCCCGCCTGGTGATGTGATTATCCACATAATAGAAGGGATAATCTTGTTGCAGGCTTTATTGAGATGTTCTTTTCCATAAGGGATAAAGAAAAGTATTCATGCAAGCTCATGTAATGCATTAACATGTACCTGATAAAAGGATGGTCCTTATCTTGGAGATCTCTCAGAGAACATCCATTCCGTACAAGAGTTTGAAGCCGCTTTTAAATAATCTAAACACAGTGTATTCATATGAAGATCTCAAGTGGCTTTGGAGGGCCTTGCAAGGGTTTTCTGCTGTCCTAGTTCCCAAATTTTAGGAGCAATCAAGTTCTATGCATATGAGTTTGGTGAAGGTGTTCATCTTAGTTGAAACTAATTGGAGTGCTACATGGACTGATTTGATGTTTGGATTTCGACCTTTCATCAATGTTATCTTTGTTATCTTCGTCGTCAATATCACTGCTTCATTCAGAAAGGTGTAACACATTGGGGCAAAGCGGGAAATTTACAAAATATCCACTCGAGGAAGCTCGAGTACCCGTTTGTGGGAAATTTAAGTACTATTCGGAGAAAAGCGCGAACTCGTTTGGAATTTTTTTTAACATGGGGATTTTAAAACACCCGTTCGTGGGAAAAAAGTACTCTTCCGTGGGGATTGAGTACCGTTCGGGGAAAGCAAAGTACCGTTCTGTAAATAATAGTTTTTGACATTTTCTGCAAGTACATTGAATGCCCGTTGCATATTTTAAGATCGGGGGTTTAAATTTATATTTTTGCTCCCCGGTCGTAGTGTCTCAAAACACTGACTAGCTCATTTTTAAGACAATTCAGAAGACTAATATTCTCCCATGACCCCAAACGGGGGTTGAAGTTGATAGGTTGCCGAATATTTGGGTGATTTGGACCTGTAAACCACTGTCACCTTGGATTTTCATACTTATAAATGAATCATTTGAATTTTAAAATAAGTTGAAAATTTGGAGATTTTAAAATTTTTGGGCTCCTTAGGCTTAAATTATTCAAAATTTTAAAGTTTTAAAATTTTAGGCTCTTAGGATTTTTAAAGATTAATATCAATTTTTGGGCTTTTCAAACTTGAATTTTAATCTTTAAAATTAAAGTCAATGAGAACTTTTAAACTTATGTCTTGATGGTTAAATTAAAGTTGAGCTTTCAGAATTAAGAGCTTTGGGTTTACAATTAATCCAAAATTTTGGAATTTCCAAATCTAAAGTCGTAGTTTTGAATAGTTTAAATTGACCTAAATATTAAATATTTGTACTTTAAAAAATAAATTAATACATTTGGGACTTAGCCTAATTTAACTTGAAGTGCCCAAATTCATAAAGCTAAGCTTAATTTGAAATCTAAATACCCCGAGTTGAGGAGCTAAGTTTGATTTGAAATCCTCGCCACCTGATTCACAACGTGTTTGCTAGCGAATAGAAGATGGTTTTCAAAAAAATGAAAGTGACTATATATGTATTGATGTAAACAAATTTATATAATTTCAAGTCTTAAAGCGAGAACTCGTCCTTGGGGATTGATTACTGTTCGGGGAAAGCAAAGTACCGTTCTGTAAATACTAGTTTTTGATCTAACATTTTCTACAGGTACATTGAAAGCCCGTTGCGTATTTTAAGATCGATGTTTAAATTTATAGTTTTGCTCCTCGACCGTATTGTCTCACAACACTGACTAGCTCATTTTTCAAGACAATTCAGAAGACTGACATTCTCCCATGGTCCCAAACGTGGGTTGACGTTGGTAGACTACCGAATATTTGGGTGATTTGGACCTGTAGACCACTGTAACCCTGAATTTTCATAAATATAATTGAGTCATTTGAATTTTAAAATAAGTTGAAAATTTGGAGATTTTAAAATTTTTAGGCTCCTTAGGATTTAAATTATTCAAAATTTTAAAGTTTTAAAATTTTAGGCTCTTAAGATTTTTAAAGATTAATATCAATTTTTGGGCTTTTCAAACTTGAAATTTTAACATTTAAAATTGAAGTCGATGAGAACTTTTAAACTTAAGTCTTGATGGTTAAATCAGTTGAGCTTTCAAAATTGAGAGCTTGGGGTTTACAATTAATCCAAAATTTTCAAATTTTCAAATCTAAACTCGTAGGTTTGAATAGTCTAAATTGACATAGATATTAAATATTTGTACTTTCAAAAATAACTTAATACATTTGGGGCTTAGCCTAATTTAACTTGAAGTGCCCAAATTCACAAAGCTAAGCTTAATTTGAAATTTAAATACCCCGAGTTAAGGAGCTAAGTTTGATTTGAAATCCCCGCCACCTGATTCACAATGTGTTTCACAATGTGTTTGCTAGCGAACAGAAGATGATTTTTAAAAAAAATGAAAGTGAATATATATGTATTAATGTATATATATTCAAATGATACAAATTTATATAATTTCAAGTTTTAAATATCTTGTTTAAAGAAATCTTTAATTCAATCCATATTTTAAATTATATAAATTGTCTTAAACCAAATGCTCTAGCTAAAATAGTTCAAATATGTGAAATTAAATTCCCGCATGTGCACTAACCAATGTGTTTGATGCTCAAATACTAGTTTCGATAATGTTGCGCTGATTAATTGGGCCGCATTGTCTATAGGATAGGGCCGTAAGTCCAACTTAACTAGTCTGATACTTCTTGCAAAGACTGGAGTTGACGAGTCTAGTAATATTGAAATAAATGTTCAATTCTTAAAATAAGTATTTACAAGTCCAAATCAAGGTAAAATTCAATCACTTAAAAGCTAAAAACAAATTCCATCTACTTTTTTCACGACAGTTTGTCAAGTGTGAGAAACTTTTAATTGATTTTAATTCATAAAGATCTAATATCATATCAAATGTATTAATATATTCATAAACAAAGCAATTGCATGCCAGAAAGGACGTGGCCGCAGTTCTCTGTCTGAGTGGTTCTATCGCCAAATGACACCACAAAATAGTGGTTACGACCAGATTTCTTTGATCGGGTGATTGCTATCAAATAATATCATTACATTATTTATACGGTCGTAGCCCATATGTTCCTAAATGGTTTTCTACTATTTGTGGTGTGAATCATAATTGTACAATTGATTGAAACAAAACCTTATGTTAGCTAAGGTCGATTTAAATGTCTTGTTAGACAAACATCCACCCTAGATCTACAATGATCTCTTGGACGATGCAACTTATGGCTGCTGGGAAGAATCATTTTGTCAGGTTGGGTTGACTACCTCCTTTGATTAAGTGGATTATGGACCACGATGGCTCCAAATGACTGAACCATTGGATCTTGATCGGGTTTCATCTTCATTCTCCCACAATTTGCTATAAGCTTCAAGTGATGAATTATATAATTTAAAATCCTAAGTGCTGCAATTATATGTTGAATACTCAATTACAAATGACTAGCTTTAATCGAAAGTGTTTTCGTGTAATCAGGAGGGGTAATTAACGATAGGGGCTTGCGCCTATGAGAAACCTCAAATCCAAGATAAAAAAGTTCTCGCTAAATGAGGGCCAAATATTTGGTTAGTGTCTTATCTATCTACAATCCAATATGTTTTCTGAAATATTGACCCTCCAAAGCTCTCTCTCAAAACAAAATTGAAAAAAAGCAGCCAGTTTTTCTGGGGAGCGGTTGTGAATTGTCGGAGTCCACAACTCCTTTAGTAGGCTGCAGCTCTTTGCTGATGATATTAACACTGATTTAGAATAGCCTAAAAAGAATGAACGATTGAGCAATAGCTTCTTGCTTTTAGGTCCAATTGGTTCAATAAATTTTACTAATAAGCTAGGCTGCAAGTGTAGCCTACTAAGTGTTTTTCGTGCCTCACTATTTCGTTGGTTTTTTGAATTATTTAAAAGATTTTTTGTGACAGAAAGAATATACTTTCCAAGAATTGATAGTTAAATTGATCCCCTGATGGTTTACATGTCTAGCATCCCTGTATAGAGAGTTGGTGCAGTTTTTTTACTTAATCATGTTGCGGTTCCATGATGCTATTAAAAATGCCACTTATCAAATAGAACAGCGCAGAATAGAGTCCCAATCTTTAAATTATCAAAGATTCCATGGTATTGCTAAGTAGGTTGCGGTTATGCTACTATTTATTCTTCTTGATTAATGCATGAATTTTTTTTTTCTTCTTTCTATATGGGTTTACCGTTTTCGAGTGGGTATAATGTGTATTTAGAGCGGTCCAGTCTAGTTATCCAAGGTTTACCTGTAGTTCTACCTCATAATTGCATCTTGTAGTGGTTGGGCTTGGCCGGTGATTAATAAAGTGCCTTTTAAGGTTTCGTGGTCCAGGTGACTTGCATGGCCTATGTTACACCTGAAATTAATTATTCTTTTCCATTGGAAATTTGATCCCAAGCATGTTTTGCCTCTTGGCATACATTAGTTTTTTCCCAGTATGCTGGAATTTAAATGACATTTTGTGGATATCTAGGCTTTGTTTCTTACCATTCCATCCTCACTAAATTCATGCTACTTGATCTTTAATTGTTCCTTGATAGTTTTGCGGTAGGTTCTGTGAGGGCTTATTTTAGGTCAGTTGCTTACCTTTTCTTGACGCAAAGCTTGGAGTTCATTTCACCTTGGATACAAAAAGAGTTGGTTCTATGGAATATTTTAATTTTCAGTGTTATTTCTATGTTAGTCCCATTTTCTTTTTTCTCTTTTGTTTATAATAATACTTCTAATGGCCTCACGTCATAACTATTAAACACCCTTGTATGCTTACCTCTCTTGTATTGTGTGCATGACTGTTTTGTCCCTTTGTTGGGATGATGTGGCCTAATGACCATTATTGTCTGTTAAGTTGGGTATTTGAGGCATGTTACGTTATTATTTTATTAATGCTTCTATTCTATGATAGGCAAGGTGCTGCTGGAAGCAAGGTACAAAGATCAGGCCTAGAAAGGGGAGGACTTGGAGAATCACGTGCTGTCCCTGCCCCTGATGCCAATGCTGAGTTGTCTGTTTCAATAAAGGTGATGTTCTCACTAATATCGCGATACATGGAGAAAGTTGTCTAAGATTTTTGTTGGGAAATTTGTATTATAATATGTGAAACTATTTTTTTGTGCTTGAGAATTGCTTCACTTCCAACAAAATCTGAGGGATGTATTGCTTTGCAATTTACTTAGATTTGTTTGTTAGGTCAAAGTTTTTGATTCCTGGTGTAATTTTTGTTAACTTTCTCCACGAAGTTCTTCTTGCATGTTATTACTGCTCCATCTTATGCGATTTATTTTTTGTTTGGATCACAGAAATGGAAAAATCAGGGTAATTCTAAAAGCAGGAGCGAGAAATTCAAACCAAATCAAGAGGAAGTTGCCTCTGGCTTTCTGATTGAACCTCCACAACCAACCCGTGTGCTGGAAGCAGCTGAACTTTCTCATGGTGATTATACTCATAAAATTTCTCATTCAGGGCCTTTAGTTAATCGGGGACAGTGGGCTTCTGCTAGAAAGAATGATGCTGCTGCTTTGAAGCTATCATCGGCTGCCAATTCAGCCAATTTGTCATCGCTTTCTGGTTTAGTGGCAGCGAGGAGGAATTCTTTTTTAGATGTAGGTGAACGAAATGGTTCGCAATTAGAAAATACTGCTGCATCTGGAAGATTATCTGAATCTAGAAATGAGCATTTAGAAAGAAGGTATGATCAGTTGTACCATGGCGTGTCTCAGAGAAAGGAAGATGAAAGTGACAACTACATGAACCAGTCTCTAGTAAGTATTTTGACTTGTTTGAATTGTTTTTTTATTCAAAATTTGCATATCCATTTGCCGCAGTGCTTCTGAGAATTTATAAAAAGGCTCACTTATTTAGTAAAATTGAGATATTTAGGAAGTTATAGCAGTTAAAAGAACTTTCTTATTTGCCTTTTTGACCAAACAATGGATGATGATTGAAACAGAATATTAAATAAACACAGTGCTTGTGTCAGTAATTCTGGTCCTTACCTTATTTAACGTCTCCATTTGATTATATTACTATTATATGCATATATATAACAGGTAAACGAGAAGTACGAATTGGCATACATCTTATTCACTGGATGCCATTACTTATTCAACCCTGTAGCTGATTTTTTAAGAATTGTCTGAAAACTTGGAAATATTAACTGGCCAATTCTGCAAGAATTTATATTGTTATACTTTTTGCTCATTGACAGAATTGAACTTACATCTATTGAGCGCTAGCTATTGCAACTTCTAGCTTTCAAGTTCAGCTCTTACTGTAAATCTTTTATAAAGGTATAGCTGGTTGGAAGCTAAGTAAATTCTCAAGGGATTACAATTTTTTTTCTATCTTGAAGTGCTGTAAAAGGAGTTTCATCTTTTTTTTTTTTTGTTTTTTTTGAGAAGGTTGTATGTTTAAAATGTTTGGTTTGGGGCAATATTATTTGAAATACTAAATCCATAGTTTTATTCAGGAAAGTTTAATTCTAAAATCTATTCAAACCAAATATGATTTTGTTTCCACTAATTCTATGGGTGCAAATAAGATCATTATATTTAAGGTTTTTTTTAGGGAGTTTAAAGCTCATTCGATTATTAAATGCATCCAATTAAATGTCGTCAGTTTAGCAAATATTTTAGTTTTCTAAAACACCTATTCCATTTGTAGATAAATGAGCTCAAACTCTTATGTAGTTATGTTGGACCTTTTCTTACGTTGTAACCGGACTATATACATTTTATTATTTTTTTTAATAGTTTTAAGGACTCTCTAGCTTGTTTTTAGGGAATTTTGTGAATCTGCTCTTCTAAATCTTATCTGCTTTAATTTTTAGGAAGAATTACGTACATACCAAACAATTCCTATGTATTTGTATATCTTACTGTGAACTTTTATTTTTTACGTTTATGCCACTTTACTTATGCTTGTTCATTTTTTAGAAGTCAGTAATATGTTATTTCTGATGTGATTTGAGGAATTTAAATGTTATATATGTAAAAATCAAAATTTAGATGTTAGATTTGTAAATGCAAAGGAATTGATGGGTACTTATGTAAATACCCCTAATTTTTAAAAATTCATTGCAGCACCCAGGTTTTGGTCCAAAGGGCAACAAAATACATTACTCAGGTCCATTGCCACGCCCATCTGGAAATGTTGATCAGATGCTCAAGGATCATGACCGACAAATCCAGGAGGCAATCCGGCGTGCAAGGATCGATAGGTCAAAGGCCAGGAAAATTCAGGGTGAAGGCAACCTGGTTGGGCCGAGCATCAAACCCTACAACCTAGGCGTCATTCCTGTGTATCCGTCTAGCCGTAGCTCAGTTATAGTCTTCACTTCCAGTCGCGGGGCTATACAGCAGTAAGTTCTTTTGAACAAATTGCTGTTCTTGCAAATTATGTTATATAATTGCTTATTTTATTTTTTTGGGTGTTAATTGGGAGGGAAGATAGTGTTGATATATAGAGATCTTATGTAATGTCGTTTGTCATGCACAATTGTTTGAGGATAATTTAGAAATTTTGGAAAAATTTGCAGCCACTTCATTTTAGTGATGCTGCTTTAGCCATTGAATGATCTGTTTTACGTTTGAGCCAGCTCTCACCTTTTCAAAAGGTGGGGAAAGTAGATGTGTATGTGGTGCTTTATATTAGGTTGAAAACCTGCCATTTAGGTGGCTTAGCGACAAATTTGTCTGACATGGCCAACTTTCTGCTACATTACTGCAACACCAAACCCTTATATAGACATTTCAAATGCCATTTCTCACTCTAGCAAAAGAAATCTTCTGATTCTATGTGTGAATTTTGACCTGGATTAATGGGTATGTTGGAGAAGATTGTTGTTAGTATAAGACGGTGATTGGCTTTGTCCTGGATTTATGTAAAATATGATTTAGTAAATCTGAATTTATCAAATTCATATTTAGCGGAGACATGTTGGTGAGCCATGACAGAATAACTTCCTTAAATTCGCCTATGAAATTAATTTAGTAATTCTGGATTTTCATCAAAAAATAGATGGAACCAGTGAATATTCGATGCAATGGAACACGGGATTTAAATTTCATTTTTTTGGTGTTTCTTTTACATTAAATCCATGGCTAAATCCGGCCAAAAATATGCTACCAAACAACCCTTTAACTGTTAAAAACTTATACCTATGAACTAAGGACTGAAGCATAAAATTTTTGATATAATCAAATGATATCCGCTAAGATGATCGCACCTTATTCAAAACAAGAATAGTTAATGAATAATGTGAGAAAAGTGGGGTGATTTTTGTTATGGAAAAAAACTTTTTTTGTGATAACAGTTCATATGTGTATTAGCTCTTACCCTTTGACAAAATTGAGCCATAATTTCTCCAGTGAATGCATTCAAACGCAATAACACGGAAAGTGGCTAGTGTGTAAAGGGACTGTGGTGTAACTTGAGCCTCCAAGAATTTCTTTGATACATTTTGGGTATGGTGCCATTTGGTTCACTGAATTTTAGTATAAACTAAATGTAGGGTTTTTTAAAATTTTAATGTTTGGCAGGATGAAAATGGAATGAAATGTAAAATTTTAAGGGTTGTTTGGTTGTCTGTAAAAGAAATATAGAGTAAAATATAATACATTGTATTATAATTACAGTGATTATGCTTCTAATAGATTGTTTGGTTGTCTGTAAAGTAAATACAAAGTAATTTTTTTGTTTGGTTATATGCATATAAAGTAATGTAAAACTAATATATTAAAAATAAATGAGTTTGTTTGATTTTTCGTAAAATAATTGTTTTTTTTAAGTTTAAATACATGTGAATTAATATATGAAACAATTATTATTTACAAATTAGTATAATAACATTAACATTAATGTTTAGAATACAAGTGTGTAAAGGCATTTATTCATCATAATTGGCATCATATTTATGTGATTTGCATTTTCTCAATTATCTTTATCATCTCATCAGTCGTGAATATATTATAAATTGTTATTAAAATCCATTAAAACATATTTTTAGTCTTATATTTTTATTGTTTGTTCGATTTGTTAAATCATATCATTTGCATGAATATATACGTCAAAACTCAACCAATAATTATAAATCTATCATCCATGATAAAATTTTGTAAAATTTGCTTCATGCCTAATAACTTTTCATACTTCCATTCTTAATAATTCTTGAAAATAATTTAGTTTTTTTAAATAATTATATAAGCATAAAAATAAACTAAATAAATATATTAACAAAATAAAAAAATAAAATTAATCGCAAACAAGCACTAAAATTATCAGAGAATGCAGATTTTACACATTAGGTAAACAATTGCCATATGTCCAAACGACAGGTAGGAAGAAAATTAAAAGGTTGGAACATATTTGACCGTTTGATCACTGACACAACTTTTAAAAAATCATATCTTAGTTGTTAGAAATAGCAATATTAGCACAAAACATGCAATATAACAATTTTTTCATTTGCAAACATCCCGAACAAAATGCTTATTTGTTAGAAAATTAAATTTAAGTCAGTGATAAGGCACAATAAATAAATACATACAAAATGCTTAAGTGAGAATATGAGAAATGGATGAAAGAGGGTGGTTGAGTTGTAAATATTTAGCAAGTTTCAGGTGGTTTGTATATAATTGCCCCAAAAAAAAAAATCTAAGTGCAATTCATGAGATTGAAAAGAAGCCAAGTAGAGCAAGAATAAGATGCACTTGGGGGGCTAGATTAGGGTTCAAGTGACTTAAATGTAAGAGAAAGATTGAGTTAGAAATGCCTAGAAGGAATAAAATAAAATCAAGGGCTCTGTGAATTTAAATAATATGTGTGCAAAAAAACTCATGATCAACTTTGTACAAATAAAATGTCCAAAAAAAGACTATTGTGGTGTACATTATAGTAATGAATGCCAAAATCTCTCTATGCCACTGTAAATGGCAAAGCCTTAGTTTGACTCCAAATTATAAGTTGTGCTCAAAAGATAAATATCCCAAAGAAGAAATTAAAATAAAAAAGTAAACTAACCATATTGATCTGATATACCATGAACCGACACAAAGCTACAATTGCGCAGACAAATCAATGATTGACATTTTCAAAGTGCAGGATTCATAATCTTTCAGTAATAATCAGAGAGCAGTTTGAAGGTTTCATGTCTTGAGTACCAATGATTTATCAGTTCCTAGCTGAATTTTTTTTGTTCCTACCAGATGGTATGAAATTGATGGACATTTTACAGCGGTAGACCGCTCCATCATAAGTTTAGCATTCCATTCCTAAATGAAAAAATTAAAAATATATTCATTGGTGAAACAAAATGCTGTTGATTGACATAATGATATTACATATGGATTGGTAATTGCAGAAATAAAACTTAAGATAATTTTATTAACAAAAATATCACATTCAACATAAGAAAAAGTGACATATATAACAACTAATTTAGAGGAATAATCATTTGGTGAATAACCAGCTTGGAAATACACAACTGCAACACTTTGTTTTCCTCTACAAGTATAAATTTGCATCTTTTGAGTTATAAGAATATACCTCTAATTCAGTAAAAACTGAAGAAATTTAGATGCTCACAAGAGAATCATTAATGCATATGAATGTGCCTTACACTCCTATCATGCAATAAACTGATTTAGCTTCTAAGGTAAGGGGTTCTATACATACCTTGTAATCCATTCAGTAGTAGCTGTTCTTACACATTTATTTCTGCCAATGTCTTGCGTATAGTATTTACACCTTGTGTACTGTGAATTTAAGAAAACATAGAATAATGATTGATGGTTGAAAACAAATAAAATTAACTCCTGCCAAAAATGCACATGTTTTCAACTAGTAAGTATAAGAAAAGCCTCTTTTATAATATCTGGTCAAATTTACTACGATGGATGCCATTTAAGCTGAAGTTTTCTTTGCTTTGGGTAGTAAAATACTGAAGTCATGTCAGAACAAAAACTGTTAGAGTTGGTGCAAAATCTATTTTAAAAAAATTAAACTTATAATGCATCACCTTTTCATGTCATCATGGTTGGATTTGTTCATGTGAGAAAAAAGATGGGGAGTGGGTTTGTTAGCTTCGAAAGTAAGCTCGCATATAACAAACATTTTATGCTTCTAATGATAATTCGTGAGAATTTATAAGGGAAGCAGTTCAACATTATAGTGAATGAGGATAGAAAAAAAAAAAAAAAAAAGAAAAAAAAAGAAAACAAAGGAAAAAAAAAAACAAAAGATTCACTATTCAGTCAACATTGCCAATTAACATGATTAAAAAGGATCCATCCTCATAATGTGATAGTATGTCTGCTGAAGAATCTCCTGGATAAAAAATTACAACATTGGGGTTGATATGTTTCAGTTCTCTAATAACAATGTTTTTCTATTTTTTAGACTTCTGAACAATCCATTCTTCCTACACCTCTTGTCCAGCATGTGTTAAATACGAAGCTTGAATCTATTTTTTTGGTGTATGGTTCAACATCTACAGTCCCCCTTGTTGGATGTGCTGGGCCTCCTCTTCTACCGCACTAGTAAGATTTTCCAGTTTGTTATCATCTTGAGCAACTTCCTCCAATCTAACTGAAGTATTGAGTGGCAAATTCTGGATATCTTTGAAATCATGAACCAAGTTGTTATCTATCAATTGTTGCTCCTACCGGATAGCAAAACCAACTTCACTACTGTTTTCCACCCTCTCTAGATGGACATTAGCCATGTTTCTGTGCTCAATTACCACCACTTCCACAACCTTCCCCCCTACCTGCTTGGTAACATGCTCCTCTACAACTTCTTGATCATCCTCCAACTTAAAATTTGGATAAAAAAACGAAGTATGCTGATCCTCTAGAAGATGTTCAGTCTAAGAAATGGAACATTCCCAATGAAAGAAAAAAACTTTCCTTGAAAAAATGTGTTCAAAACCTTCTTCTCTCCCTTATTTAATCACAATATGCCTCCCATCTGGCAGCCCTACTTTCAAATATCCCAACAACTTGAAATCATCAAAGTATTTTTGAATAATATCCATCTTAGGACGACCAAAAGTGAACTTACCAATTAAATAGAACCAAAGAGGCTCTGCTAAAATTATATTTTTAGCTTCAAAAAACATTAGAGTAGGCATGACATTTTTTTTAATTGCCTTTCGCAAGAAATTATTCTCTCCTTCGTCTTAAAATTTGTGATGGTAACTTTCGTGTGATGATTCAATCACTACTTTTAGGGAAGTTAGTAGATGTGTCACCTGTTGAAATTTCCGCAAATGACTATTTCTCCAACTTTACCACATCTGCAATCCATTGGAATAGTAACTACACAACAAAACCAGGTAAAAGCCCTAGCTAGTAGGAAGAAGACATCCTTTTTACCACATATATGTATATTTAAGTAGTATAATGTTTATATATTTGTGTATGTTGTTGACCTTACTTTCAGGTAAACCCTTTTATTGCTAAAGCTTTCAATCATCCCCCATGGGTGGATATTCCATGCAAATTAAGCTTTAGGACTTGCAGAAACTCAATAACATTTGTACGCCGAAATTCCTTGTCTGACACAACTACACCGCATCACAACTTACCCCACTTATGCGCCACTGTC